AAAAAAAAAAGAAAAAAATGTTCTGGCTAAAAGCGAAAAATTCACACCATATTTATCCTTAAATATTGTTAATGACTGATATTTGTTTAAAGGGGGAGCAAGGACTACCTGGTCCTACAGGCCCAGATGGACCACCTGGACCTATGGTAAGTAAAAGGAGCAGCTTTGCTATTTGCTTTCAAATATGCTGAATGGACTGATCTAAAGGAGTTTTGTTCCTCCCACAGGGCCCCCCTGGTTTACCTGGTTTGAAAGGAGACAGTGGTGTTAAAGGAGAGAAAGTAAATACTTCCAGTACCATTAAAGTCACCTAAATAATTTAGAGAACAGGCATAACATTAAAACTAATGACCTTGTTCAATAACTGATGAGTTTCATTAGCCTTTGGTTGTCAATTTAACATTCTTAGTAGTCACTTTGCCTGCAAGATAAATTCTCAAGGTATTTGTCCGAGCACAAACACATGAGAATCAATCTTGTACGATTGTGGCTCACATTGTTCCAGACCAATAGTTTTTGAATTGATGTGTTATTGACATGCTGCTCTCTGTCCCCAGGGTCATCCAGGTCTCATTGGTCTCATTGGACCTCCAGGCGAACAAGGAGAAAAGGGTGACAGAGGTCTGCCTGGCCCTCCAGGAACTCCTGGTCCCAAAGGAGATAATGTGAGCAATACAGCCAACACAACTAGAACCATTAGCTCTATCTCTAAGAGATTTGAACCAATTTAGCAGCCAGATGTTCATATCTGAAGTCTGGCAATTGACATATTTTCCTTTATCCATTAGGGTATTGCTGGTCCTACAGGTCCTCTTGGTCCAGTTGGACCTCCCGGCTTACCTGTAAGTCTATCTTCTTTACATTAGTCTATTAAAAACTACTGTCCTGTCTTGGCAGATATTGATTTCCGGATATTCTTTGTGTTTTTAGGGTCCTCCAGGTCCCAAAGGAGCCAAAGGATCATCTGTGAGTGATTAAGAATCAGGATTAGACTGGAAACAATAAAAAGTATACACCAAGGATGATCATTGTTTTTATTTTTTTTGTCTTAGGGCCAAACAGGTCCAAAAGGAGAAACTGGAACCCCGGGTCCTCCTGGCCCTCCTGTGAGTAAATAACTAAGATCATCAGTTCTTGTCAGTGTTTACAGCTATCTTCTTAGTGTTTCAACAGCTTGTCCATCTGTCTACAACAGGGTCCTCCTGGTGACGTCATCCACCCACTCCCCATTCAAACTTCCATGAAGGGGAGAACACGTAGGAACATCGACGCTAGCCAGATGATGGACGACGCCGCCATGGACGCCAACTACAAAGACTACGATGATGGCATGGAGGAGATCTTTGGGTCACTGAACTCTCTGAAGTTGGAGATCGAGCAGATGAAGCATCCGCTGGGCACACAGAACAACCCAGCTCGTACCTGCAAGGACCTCCAGCTGTGCCACCCTGATTTCCCTGATGGTTTGTCTCATCTTCTGTATTTATTCACAAAGCCCTTCTGCTCCTGCCATTTTTATATCCTGCTTCCGGCATAAATGAATGGGGTATTGAGCTCTGTTAATGATAGCGAAATCTGAAAACTTGCCATATGTGGCGTTTCAATTTTCGCTTCCCTTTAGTGAGTCATGCCCAAAACAGTTTTTGAAGGCATTGAAATTGATTTTAAATTAACGTGTTCTTTTCCAGCCCCCGTGTAGATCTTAATTATAAGCCGAGAAGGATATTCCTTCATCTAAATTAGGTGTAAAAGATCTAAAACATGCTCACTATTCTCAACAGACCTGATGTAGACATGACTTGTTAGGGTCCTAGATTTCTGATGGCGGCAGCCTATGTTAAACACTTACACCCAATATTTGAGTCTCTCAATCATCTATTTTAACAGGAAGGTAAATATAAATGCAAAAACCTCTGTTCATGCTAATCCCCTAGTATAAAACAAAAAATAAATGGAAACAATTTCCCTTTATTATTACTCAACTATATCATAACATTGGATTATTAGAATGAACAGAACTTTTAACTTCATTGCTTTTATTTAATGGGGTATAAATGTTTAAAATAGAAAATATGTAGCAAAATCTCCATTAGTGGCACCTCTAACAGTTCCTAAAATACAGATCATCTAGTAATAAGCCATTTTGTAATAAGGTTTTGGTTTTTATTATTCAAGTGTCCACTAACTATTGGAAAATATTTTTTATTCATTATCCTAATCGGGATAAAATCTTTGCTGTGGTCAGACTTGGGTTTAAATTGATCATTTTTAATTGTATCTCCTATTTGGTGCAACCTCTTAAAAATATGGTTAGAATAAGTACTTCTGGTATTTAAGACCACATGTTCTACATTTGGTTCCATGAGACTATCAATCTATCAATTAATTTTGATATTTCTGAAGTAAAAAACAAATTTCTTATTTGGTATAATATTGTATTTGCCAGTAATGATTGGCCTGCAGGATTAACTTTTTCTACCGTCAATACCCACAGCAGCAATCTGTATTTGCCAAGATGCTTACGTTGAGTTTTTGTGGTACTTTGATAAAGGAAGTAACCAATGAATGTGGATTAAGCATCACTGGTAGCTCTATGTAGTATTTCCATATAGCATTGCAGAAACATCTGCTTTTCTGATATCATGAAAACCTAAATGCTGTTATTGTGTTTAGCAGTGGAATGGCACTATTTTGCATAACTTGTGTCAAGGCTAAGTCCTTCTCTCTACCTAAGCATTGATCAATTTTATGACTAAAGAAGTGTGTGTGTCTGTTGCTTACCTTACAGTTTGGCAGATACCTTGGAAAAAAGACAGCGTTAGATTTTTTTAAAATCATCTTTTTGTAACTTTTTAAGTCTTTGTTCTTGAATATACACCATAAGATATTCTGATTAGATTTCAATTCTGCAGTACCTCTCCCTAGTGTCATGATCTTTTAATCGATAATCAATGACTCCCTGTGTCCCAGGCGTATAAAGTGGCCAGTTTCACTCTCTTGAAAATAGGAAAGAGAAGTGATTATGCAATTTTAGTAAAGCATGAGTACATCCATTTTTTATAAGTCAGGAAATTGCAAAATGGAATGGCAAATTGAAGGTTCTGCAATAGTTACTAATGATCTTTGAGTATTCAGACTTGGTCCAATTTATCTTTATACCCAAAGCTTCATTTAAGCCAAAGGGATTATAAACAAAACTCTCTAGTTTTATTTTCACCTTCACTTGTCATTAGGGATTTATTGTGTAAAAATACAGATACACTTGATATCAAGATGTGATTCACAGATATACCATATACTTAATAAAAACTGAATAAAAAATGGCAGGTATCACATACTTTACACCTTCTACTAAATGCTCTGCTTGTCCTCTAATTGTCTTCCACTGTTCTTTGTGTCGGCAGGTGAATACTGGATTGATCCGAACCAGGGCTGCTCGCGGGACTCCTTCAAGGTCTACTGCAACTTCACAGCGGGTGGAGAGAGTTGTATTTTCCCGGATAAAAAGTCTGAAGGGGTACGTCTGGCTGCGTGCACGCAAGGAACTGATACACAGGAGAAAATGCAGCACGCACAGAGGTTAAAGAAGAAAACATTCAGTTTGCGATCAGGATTCAGAGCGAAATAATGTTTGCAGAGCTCCGCAGATAAGGAAAAATGGTTAAATTTCCCCTTACATGCTTTGCGTATGTTATAAATATCCTAAACACCTTGAGAATTCCAACTGGTGTAGCCGTATAATTAGCCTCTGTTCAATTGCCTACTGTGATGTGCCTAGAAGAGGTGGGGAATGAATCATCAGTTAGATTTTACAAACACCAGACAACATTCTCACCAACTTACCCAAAGTATTTGTATTTATATGAGTGCTACTTTGACATGGAGCAGAGAGAACTGCTTCATATGAAAGCAGTGGCAGGTGACAGACACAGCGAGAACACTTTCTGCTTCATTATGCATGAGTGTGTGGAAGAGAGGAGTGAAGCAGAGTGGAGGAACACTGCCTCTGACAACTTGAGGGTTGTGTAGTAGCACAAGTGCTACAGCCATTTTAATGATCCCACTCATCAAGCCTCAGAGGGGTAGGGGGGTTTGCTTAAGCCCGGAATAATGAAGCAGACTTTTTATAGCCTCCCCGTTGATGGGCTTCTCTCTCGTTTGTGTCTGAGGAAGAGAGAATAACCCCCCTACTAGTTTTGGCACTGATGCTAAAAACCTTCCCACATGTTATTAAAAGATCGCTAACTTATACTGTCCAGATGGTGTGTAAAAAAAAAAAGAAAAAAAGCACAGCACAAGAGATGCTGTGAGGAAGGAAGTCGAAGCTCTGCTCAGTCCCCTCTGAAAACGGGAGAAGGTTGCCCTTCAAAGCAGCGGGGGTTTAATGTATGTCTTCTTTCGCAATCATTTATCCTTCATTAACACATTAGGCGGCTGCTGACAGTTTCATATCAAACCTTGCTCGCTAATTATAGAGAAATCTATCATTGTCATGGCTGAGATGGTTTAGAGCTGTGGCCTGTTGGCCCCGTCACAGATTTAAAGGGCAGACCAACATTACAGCCTGGTGGCAAACACGAGCCGCAGGGAGGAAAGCAGCGAGGCAGTGCCTGGATAAAGTATTCATATCCCTTGAACTTTTACATGGAAACGAGTTTAATAGGACTTTATGTCACATAATTGAGAAATTTAAAGCAAAAGTGCATTAGAAACCTGGAGAGTAGTTGTATCCATCCCCCATTACTCTGATACTGTACCTGTAAGTCTGTGGAAAGCAAATGTCTCTTTAGTAAATACTATGTCAATTATTCTTATTATACGTAAAGCCTTTCTGTAAAGGCCAAAAATAAACATTAGAGAGCAAACAAAGAAACACCCTAGGTTTTTTTCTAAAATTATATTATTTTAAAAATAGCATTGGGCCGTAAAACTTTGAGCATCTTACGCTTTACACAATCACCGAGAGCTGTAGAGATGAGTATTTCAGTAGGGATACTGAGGGATGATAGGGAAATGCATAGACCTAAATATTGGCAATCATGAAAGAAGACCTATTGGAAGCTGCAAACGAATGTAGGCTGGATTGGAGGTTTATCTTTCAGCAGGGCAGTGGCTCTCATCTTACAGCCAGAGTAACAATGGAATAGTAAAGATCAAAGTACATTGTTGAGTTACATTAAACTTAGAATCTATGACTAGATTTGTAAGATTTCAGATGTAAATGCAACGAAACATATTAACAAACTCAAGCTATTCCATCTTTTATAAATGTTAAGGGGGATTAACACTTAGAGTGATCACTGGTATTGTGCCAGAGGACCACCAGGCTGCACAACACAAATAAAAGCATAAGCATTTAAAAAAATATTACATGCAGGCAATCGTTTATTATCACTGTGTACTTATGAATATTTCAGCAGCAATTAGCTGCCAAGTGCAGTTTGTAAAGTAGCAGAAACCTGCTGCTTAAGTCCAGTAAGGCTACTTGATCTGAGTTTCAGATCTGTAGGAATGATCAGAGGAGAAGCAAAGGAGAAAGAAGATGAGTTGAAGGGGGGCGGGTGAGATTTCTGTCAAATCAGTTTCCTTTCTTTAACACAACCTTTCTTCCCCCCTCCTCTGCCTTTTTTTTTGTTGATCCCTGCCCCCAGGCTAAACTCACATCCTGGGTAAAGGAGACTCCCGGTTCCTGGTTCAGTGAATTCAAACGTGGTAAACTGGTAAGCCTGACTTTTAAGTCCCTTTCCCTTCCCTGAACACTTGTTATATTTTACAGAGCAAAATGGCAAAATGGCCCAAAGACTCGCCAGGCACTTGGTATAGTCGTTACAAGAGAGGTTCGCTGGTAAGTGGCTCTGCCTGCGGTTCCAGAGTCCCGGCTTTGGCCTGGACTCTGCATGGTTGGTTCTGGTTCTGCACTGTGAAGTATGTATCAAGCCTGGCACTTTCTTGTAGATTCATAATTCAATAAGATGCATGAGCTACATAAGCTACATTCTCCTTCAGTCCAGCATTGAGAAAGAAATGGAGGAAAGGTTTGTGGAAAGAAGGATAACTTGATTTAAATTGGAGTTTCATCAATTTCCAGATCTGTTATCCAGTCCATTATACCTCTTCTCCATGAAAAGAGCTTTTCTTAAGTAACTCAGTGCCTTGACATTATGACAATTACACCCCATGTCCACCCTTCTGATTCCTTTCTTAAAAAAGTAGAGCATTTATACCCAAACATATCTATATCCCTCTTTGCTGCTGCTGCTATCAGCTGATCCTACATTCCTACCCTGATATTATAGCTCCAGGTCAATTCAGTCATGGCACTTAGTTACTACCCACAAGCTTCTGGGTCCTCGGTCTGTTGGCTTGTGATGATCAAGAGGTAATGTTTCTCCTGAGACGTATACACGGTGTACGGGGCAGAGAGTGAATGGGGATCAGCCAAGCTGTTCCTGAATATGAACCACAGTGCTGATATTCAGAAGCCTGCATTGAAGAGCAAAGTCTTGGATTCAATGTAATATTCATCATCTGGAAAATAAAACTGGAAAAAAAGCTATTGGTATATTGGTAACTATTGGTATAACCAGACTTTATTTCCAAACCTAATCCCTTCTAAGTCCACCCCTCTATCTATTTAGCAAATAAGGCCCTGTGAATTTTAGATTCCTTAATTTTAAAAAGTACTGGACTTTATTTTTTGAATATCAGCACTGTGGTCGTGTTATATGCATGCGCATGCAAGTGTTGGCTCCTGTGCAAACAAAAACAAGTCGAGTAAGTCAAACATCAAGAATTGGACCGCTTGCTGCTCTAGCTGCATGCATACATTCAGCATGCGCTCTGCACTCAGTAAGTCCTGTTTGTCTGTAAGGCGAAGTGGATCTAATGGATTCCTGATGGTTGGTATGCAGATTGTCATTTAAGGCCATTGAAATAAAATGGATCAACTGGGATTGGTTCCAGATGTATCTAATAAGTCTGGATAATGAAGCCCTATAATCGTCTTAAATGGATGTAGCCCATGCAAGCATGAAAGTAGGGAGGGTGGATTCCGAGTTAATTACAAGGTATTAAGCATGTAATTAACACCCTAGTTTTTTTTTCCAATTTTAAAAATATGCTTATGTGGGTTTTAGATACTACACATATATTCAGCTAAAGTGTCTAAGTCTGCTTTAGAAGTTCCACATTGAATTTTAAATTGAATCATAGCTTTACAGCATGAAGTTGCAGCGTAGTCCTGCATCAGTTATCCTTTTGTAGTGATTTAATACACATACATTATCAAAAATGCACATATGTCATTCAGGAATCAGGCTGGTGTTAAAAAAAAATCACTACTTTTATTAAAGCCCAAAGCTTGTAATTAATCTACAAAGTAAACACACTTTATTATTTAGTGCAAGAACAGATTGAAAGAATCATCGTTTTTTGCAGCTTGCATCGATACTCATATAAGCTCTGATTTAATAAGAAAAAATGAACAGTTTTATGCAGAAAAATTGAAAACTTAAACAAGCAAAACCCATTTTAAATTAAGGTATAAAGCTGGCATCAACTGAACTAGGACCCTAGGATTTAGCCTTTCTGTGCATACATATTTAATTGTGAAAACTATAATAAGCAGTCAGTATCTCAGCTGTAGTGAAAATTCTTCTGAACAACCTAAGTGTTAAAAAATTTATTTAAAAAAAAGCCCAGATCCACAGGATATCTGATCTGTTCAAACAACTCCAATTATTTCTGCATTAGCCTGTTATTTAAAATCATGACTTTAATTATTTCCACTGAACAATTTTGTCACTAATCTTATTAATTATGCTGTGTTACAAGCGACACTGCAGTACAGCTAATGTTGTTAAAACAGAGATAAACAATTTAGAAATTACCCTATTTCTTTATGATCTATAGCTTTTATTGTTTTACTGAAAATAATGTTTACTTAATATATTTTTATGAAAGGTTTTTGCATTTTTTTTGTCTTATAAAAAAAGAGAGAGATCAATTTGTGTCAAAGTTTCAATGTTTCAGATTCACTAAAGCTGAAATCGATTCCAAGTGAGAAAGCAAAAAGTTTGTGACCCAAGCTGACCTAAAAACAACTTAATGATAGCCAAAATAAAAACTAAAATGATGATCAATTTGATGTACAATCACATTTAAGTCAATTTGGGGATTTTCCACCATTTACAGCGCCACGTTTAAAGCTCAAGATTTTACCCTTGTTTGTTAGCAGCTGAGTGAAACATAAAAATAGGAAAGGTAAAGCACCTAAACTGTTAAAATATCAGATTTGCATCATTATAACACTACCTTAGTGGGTCTTAGCTTGCCGGGAGCTTCTTATGAAATAACCTTGGATAGTAGTTAAGCAAAATTTTAAGTCGGTTAATGAGACACTTAAAGCTTTCCTCACGTTTAAATTTTTCCCCTGAATCCATAAACACTATCTCTCAGTTTTGTAATGCTGTTGCAATGTTAATCTCTCCATGTGGTGTTAATAAATCTGATTCTAAATTGTTTTTTTAACTTAAGCTGCTGGTATAGATGACAGATCGGCTGACTACAATTGGAAAGCGTTTAATAAAAGCAGAACTCATCGTTTAGAACAGTTGTGAATAAACTACTGTGGGGATGTTTAGGAATCTGCTTGCACCTATATGGAGATAAATAATATGTGGATAAAGTGTGTCCAATATTTCACAGAAAGTACGACGCATGGAAACTGGGTGTTCAAACAATAACTAAAGGAAATGTTTATAATGTTGTAATGGCTTGGCGTATTACGGTTATTTTAAAGAAGTGAATCTAGCATTGTCAGCTGGATCTGCTTTTGTGGAAAATCCCTGGCATCCAGTCTATAGAGGTTTCTGAAACATAGCAAAAGCTGCAGCCAACAACTGTGTCTAAAATAGTCTTTAAACTTATTTCACACGGGAACTTCTAAGGTTTCTCCACTAACTCTTTCTTTAGAAATTATTTTGTTGAAACCCTGTTTATTCAAAAGTATCATTATAGTTTGCCTAATTTGCTTTACTCTCACTAAGAGGACAACAGTCTCAGAACTTTGAATCTAATGCAAAGTTTTTGAGGTTTGAAGATTCATAAAAAAAATTAAAATAAAGTTTGATGGCTGGAGTCTCTGTAAGGTGGAAAACATCCTCATCTTAGCCTGACTGTTCAGATAAAATTTGTTTTTTTTCCAGATTGATGCATCGCCAGTCTGTAAAAATGAAGAGATCTGCTCTTTCTTTTTTATTCTTCCTCCCAAACCTGTTCTTATTCCTGGTGGTTCAGGCATCAAATCTATAATGGTGACAAGTGATAAAAAAGGACAAAAAAAAAATCCAAACTGATCTATATTTCGTATTTGTCACTGTTGCCATTTCCACCACCTAAAGTTGGACAGGCTATGACATCAATCCAGGTTTGAAACTGTGTCTAAACTACAGCAGAACAGGAGGTGAAAATACAATGCTGATATTATTAGGGACTGCGTTGTGGTGAGTGAAGGGCAAACTGAAAGGGCGACATACCCTCAGCAGACTAAAACCAGCCTGATACCTTTAAAATCACAGAATTATATACAGTTTATATATGATTGCTTAGATTATTTACTGATAACTAATTCAATTCAGAGTTCAGTATATTTTCCATCTCCCCCCTAAAAAGAGAAACAGTAAAAGCAATTTCAGTATTAACAAATGAAATAGAATAATTAGGTAACATGTCCAAGTTACATTAGACTGAGGTGTATTGGCTTGTTTTCATATATTTGTGTCTCCTGGAAATATGTTGTTTCTCCCATCGTTCACCTTCTTTTCTTCCCATCTTGTTTTTAAAGTGGAATCCTGGTTTTCAATTTTGTGTTCTTACTTTCACCCCAGCTCTCTTACGTGGATGCTGAGGGAAATCCCATCGGTGTGGTCCAGATGACCTTCCTGCGCCTCCTGAGCGCCGCAGCCCGGCAGAACATGACGTACAACTGCTACCACTCCGTGGCGTGGCACGACCAGCAGCAGGACAACTATGACAAGGCCATCCGCTTCCTGGGATCCAACGACGAGGAGATGTCGTATGACAACAACCCCTACATCCGCGCTGTGGTGGATGGATGTGCGGTGAGTTGGTGACCTTGAGTTTGTAGTTTTTTCAGACGAACACAGTCAGTGAGCTTTGATTTTCTTTTGAAGTGGCTCAGTCAGTTAGATCCTTGAAACAGCGTGTGATGTTTTGAGTCTTCCGTTTGTTTTTTCTCTGGCATTAATTCCCCCCCTCCCGCTATGCTGCTCTCCTCCTTTTACAGCTGAAAAAGAGCTACGAAAAGACTGTACTTGAGATCAACACTCCGAAGGTGGAGCAGGTACCTTTTGTGGACATCATGTTTAACGATTTCGGCGGTTCCACACAGAAGTTTGGATTTGAAGTGGGGCCCGTCTGTTTCATCGGCTGAGACCTTTCACCAAGCAAATGGAGGACAAAAAAAAAAAAAACACAACCTACTTTTGTTTTTCAAAACGAAGATAAACAATTTAAAAAGTAATAGGACAATGCTATTTGTAAAAAAAACTGTTTCCATAAAGCAACAAGAGTTCAAACATAATTATGACAGGATTACAGCGAAAAATCTAAAGGAATTGAGAAAATAACCTTGAAACCCCACTGTGCCTTCTTTATCATGTGCAAGTTTTGAAACTGGAGTCTGCCTCCTTCCTCCTACACACAAACTAATGGCCCACCCCCATTCTTCACGTTTGATTTTGATCCTTTGGTCTGAAAGAAACAACGAAGGCGACCCTGAGAGCTGCAACCGTTCCAGATGGTAGCAGTATTTACCACGGACAAATTCTGATTCGTTTTTTTATCATGCTCCCCACCCATCCCTCCTGGCTCTCCTTTATCTCCCTGCCTTTTTCCACCTCGCTGTTCTTGGTTTTGTTTTCTTGTTTGTGCATAATTGTCTCCCCATTCTCTTTGGAATGGGCCTTATATATTTATATACATATAAATATATATAAGTGATTTTTTTTTTCTTATGTTTGTAAGTACATTCTGTATATTTTTCCTGGTAATGTTTATTGCTTCTGGCTTCAAAACATGCATGTGACTGTACTAATCATGAGGTCGTCCAACAAGAAACGTCTTAAATCTTAGAAACGCATCCAACCCGAGGATATTTGAATTGTTAAATGAAAAAAAAAAACAACAAAAATAATAATTTGGAATTCTGTCTTTGTGGAGCACACTTTTATTTTCTTTTGTAATTTAAGAACAGATCAGAAATAAAAGATGAAAACACGGTCTGTGATATAAAGTACAATACATTCCTCATTTTGTACCTTTATGAACAAAAGCCCTCTCTGGTGGAAGTGTAATTAAGTTAATAAACTGCTTCTGTACTTTTTGCTGAAATATTCATCTTACTGTGCAGTGGAAGGTAATGAAAAAAAGAAAAAAAATCAAAACCTAGGTGCTATTTTCTCTCCTCTGTGGTGCTATGTATTTTTTTTTTTTCTGGTTTGTGTTGTTTGAATAAAAGAAAAAAACTTGTGGCGACAATACTTGCAACGCTGGGCAGCGCCCCCTCCCTCCCCCCCTGCTGACTCGGTTTACGAGATGGATCTCTGCTGCAGCCGCTTCCCTCCGTTAAGGATTCTGAATGGCATTTCTCGGTGTCGCCACCCACTCAATGGAATGCACAGATCAGATTAGTCTACCTGTGACAGATGTTAGAAAGACAAGAGGGAAAGATCTTGAAAAAAATCCATATCGCCCCCCCCAACACATTGGGCTGGTGGAGTTGGCAAAATGGACATGTTGCAACAGCTCTAAAGGGATATATTGCACCCTGACCAAATAAATATTTAGCTTTAAGAAACTTTTATGTTTGAGAAACAACTTGAATAAGTCACCAAATTAGCCTTTCTAGTAAATGTTGCTCATGCAGGGATGGTTTTCCTCATGTCATAATGCTTTTTTTTTTTAACTATGCACTCTCTATGCTTATGACCACTAGTATCTACCACAGAAGTTTTACAGCTTTTTATACATAGGTTTGTTTTATTTTCCGTTTTATTTTATTTTTTTTTTAAATCTATATGTGACTTGAAGCCTTTCCTTTAGGACGACTCAGTATGCTTGTAGATCTTTGGCTCTATTCTTCATGGTGCGGCAGCACATCTACATTAATCACTTTGCTCTCAATGAACCGGAGAAAAAATTTAAGAAAAAAAAAACAGAAAAAAAAATGCAACTTTTATTTTATAAATTTCCAGATTTCGCATTGATGCTGCCTTTGCTTTGTTTTACTTTGTAGATTTCCATTTGTAGTGTCTGGTATTTGTTTTAACAGTTTTTTTTTTAAATAAAAACAGAAAAAAAGAACCTGTGTTTAAGGGTGAAGAGGATAGAGTATCATATGTTTTTTTTTTTTTATGTCAATAAATTCAAGTTTACTGTGGCCATCCACTCCTGTATCTCTTTTGAAGCATTAAAACCTATCTGTACGCATGAAACTGTAAAGTTTTTTTCCTTGTGTTACAAGTTTGTTTGAGCCACGTGATCTCCACTCGGCGCTCCGTTTCATCAGGATACATCCGTTTTCTGGTGCCACCGACGGGACAAGAAAGTTCATGTCCGAGTGTGAAGTGGAGAAAAAAAAAATGATGAACTTGTAACTCTTACCAAAGCCAATGTCCATATGTAGTATATTTATTGTAATATTTAAAATAAATGATAAATGATACCATAGTGAAAGTCTAAGAGGCCCACTCTTTACATGCACACAGGAAAGCACATTTTCTTTGACATTATAATCCTCTTTGATGGTGCTTTTCACAATAACCTCAAATGCAGTCATCAAAAACTGTTGTTTTTTCTTTGCTTGTTATCTGATGGCTGTGTGTAACATTAGCTGTAATTCCGTATATGACTGATTGGGCACCTGTACAGTCATAAAGGTTCTTACAGGTGTTTTTCAGTATGCAATAACACAATTTATAGTTCCACAGAATAAATGCAAGAAGGAAGAACTCCAACTACATCTTGTGATTCCTCCATCCTGCTCAATGGGCTCTTCCAGCTTCCCCTCCTCTAGGTCCCCTCGACCCAACACTCCAACCCCAAAGTCAGTCAGTTTTGCAAGGTTTTACAAAAAGTTAATAAAATTCCTATAATGTGACCTATAAAAACACTAATAACTGAAAAGAACGTTTTT